AGAATCAAGGAAGTGCAAGAAGGCCAGAGGCAGTGGCAACATTCAGTGAGGCAATTCCAAGTACTATGCTTTAAGTACTATTCAGATCTGGAACCCAGCTTTTGGAAGCCAAGATGAGGAGGGTCCCACCCCCAGGGAGGTGGGACTGGCAAAAGACATGCAGACATTCCTAGTAGGCTGGGAATAAAAATTCTGGAAACAGCCAAAAACTCTTTCACACACACTGGGCAAACAGCAAGGACTATGAAATGCACAATCAGTTCAGAAGGCACTTGTTTGGGAAACCAAGTGCAGTGGATATTGGATTTCTGGCAATAGAACTAATTTTAGAAAGCACCAAATGGTTAAGTTTGAGCCTACTGTATTTTAAGAAGATAACCTGGAAGCATGGTGTAAGGCAAGGAGGAAAGAATTCGTATTGGCTAAAGTCACCAAAGCCAGACAGATGTAGATTCTCTTTCAGCTTCTGAAACCAGTCCTAAGCAAGCAGATGCCAGTCTATTATAGTCCTATTTCTGTATTAGGTCAGGGCTTTCGAGTCCAACAAGTTCTCTATTAAGTTGCAGATATGTTCTGGAGAGCAAATCACTTACCCAGCCAACTTAAGGTCTGTGCTCTTAGCTAGTAGTTGGCTGTTTTAGTAACAAAAGATATCATCCAGTCAGTCAGTATTCATATATCAGGCTAGTAGAGTCTAAGAGCAAAACCTGTGTGAATGAAAAGCACCATCCAGGTTTATGTACTAAAAGCTATGAATCAACTAGTAATTTTAACAGAAGCTGAATTACTAAACATAATGTTGAGCTTTCAAGTTTTAACTCCATCAAAATTGTACTTTTGGACCTGAACTCATGTCTCCTTCAAGTGTGGACCCTGCAGCCCTTAGGGCTGCAAGTGATTTGCATTATGTACCTTACTACTGAAAAGGTCAGGGTTTGGAGAACTCAAACGACTACAGCAGCCTTTTAGTTCTTTGACTCAAAAACCTTAGTAAGGGTATTATTCTGTTTTTTAACACTCCAGCCTTATCCTTTTTTGTCCCACATCTATCCACCCAATTAATACCTAAATTCTCCATTTGTCCCCTACAGTTCTTTAGGAGACTATCTTTTCTTAGTACTTTTTATGCCTGAATTAATCTTCCTCACATCTGAGCTGGTTTTGACTAATCCACTTGCTCAACCTTCTCAGATACTAAGTATTCTTCTCTCCCACAGTACTTTGCATCTCTGTGGCTGGCCTTTGGTGTTTTTCCTTGGCATCTTGTACCACTGTTGACACATAGTGGACAAAGGAAGTGTTTCACCTCCAACCTCCTTGGCAGAGGCTAGTACAATATATTTATACAAAGTAAATGCACATTACTAATTTGACTCGGATTATATAAAGAAACGCGACCTATCACAAGGAGCAAAACCAGAAGGAACTACAGGAAAAGAGGTCAGAGGGCTCTAAAGCAAAATCTATTTCACAACTTTGCCTTGTTTAGAAGTGGTTTGCCAGCTCTGACCAAAAAACAGACACTTTTCCCTGAAAGTTTTGTAGAGGATCCCAGTTCATCTTTGAGCATATACTGTTCACATAACGTTTACTGAACCACCAAGCCCAGGTAGTCAAAGTACCTAGGTACTCAGGACACGTCAGTGAATGAAAGAAAACATAGGGCTCAGAGTGGTCAAGTTCCAAATACAGCAGTGATCAAAGGTAGAGACTGCAATGTCAAACACTACTTACTCACGTCTAAATACATACAATAAAGGGCTGCAATAAAGACCAAGGTTATCAACACAATGCTACTTGGAAGTGGTTTGATTTTGTCAATTGCTGCATTTTACATACAGTATCTTGCCTGAAGGTGCTTTTCATTTCTAAAAGATGTCTAAGTCCCCACAGCTTTCCTCATTCCTTTTGGCAATATCAAGATACAATTACATGGAAACCGTTATGCCAAACTACTTTTCCCATTGCTAGATTTCTCGAAGCTTTGAGGCCCCTTTAATTTCCTACAAAGTTGCTGCTGAGGTTCATCTTCCTGGAACCATCCTTAACCATGTATGGTCACTGTGGAATTCCTTGGACCTGTTGTTTTTTTTTCCTATGTGCAGGTACCCAAAATACTAAGTGCTTCATCTCTATGTGGTGGTATGAATACTTTGTATTTTGCTATGGCCATGAGAAATTTTTCTAGAGACCCACTTTGTACGTGGTCCTAACACTTGGGGGAAAATAGACTAATGTGTCTGGCCAGTCAACTACAGGTTTGTCAGTCTCCCCAGCCTCTCTTGAACTGCATATGCGTCCAAATCTGAATTCTTTACACTAAGAGAGGAAAACAAGACACTTTAGGAAAAAGATGACAGTTCATTATAAGACAACAAAAATATTAGCTTTTGAGTGACATTTAAATACGGGCCTGGGAACAACTTATTCATGTAGCTATTTACGGAAAATGATCATGCATGAGGCCCAACTACCTGAGTTAGATCAGATGCTATTACTGTTTACCCTAAATCCATACTGTGTAATGTTTGACTAGTTTTAACCCAGATTATTTATCAATAACCTCCCCTCCTGACCCTTGTTATGCTGTGCTTTCTTCCTTTATTCCAAGTATTACTCCCCATTTTTTTTTTTACCTTCAATAACCTTTGAAATTACATTAGGACTAAACATTCCAGGATTTAATTAATAATCAGGTTGATTACCTTGATGCCTGACATTTTTCTTCCACCAACATTAATTTTGACAATACTTAATACAAAGCCAAGGTTTCCCACCTCTCCTCATTCTTGTGATTGCCAAACAGTTCTCTCCATAAAAACCTTACCGAGGATTTCCCCACAAGAGTCAGTATAAACTTTCACTCAGCTTTAATTACAATTATGCATTTTATATTCAAACGGGGCCAAAGGCAAAACATCCATTCAGAAAAATTTGATTACAAGGCTGGTTAACTGAAAAAGAATTTTGTATCAGAAATATCTAGTATCACATGTATGCCTGTACTTACAAAGTAGAAAGATCTGGGAAGTAACCTACTGGTTAACAGGTTTTGACTCTTGGAGGGTGTTACATGAATAATTAGAAATGCCTCGAATCTTATGTTGGTCCAGAATCTATTTAAAAAATTAAAACCCAATATAATCCGTCTTGCTTTGTATGTTTTCTTTCCATGTCTGTAAAACGAAGCGCTTTTCCTGATCACCAGTTTTTCATAGGTCAAGTAAATCTCATGGCACTAGCCCTAGAAAAAGGAAAACATTTGAGATTTACAAGACTATCAACATCAGAAGAGCTTACGTAAATACTATTGTCCTCATAATGGTCTATCTCAGAAGCCAGATCCGTATAAGTTTTTTCAACAGAAATTCAGGTTCGGGATAGGATCATCATCGATAAGACCAAGGACACAATACTGACTGATTAATATCGCCACTTACAGAAACGGTTACACTTGAGGAACTTCCCAGCAAACTGGCCTCTTTCATTGCGCTGACAGCGACCCCTCACTGTTGGCAGAGAAAAAAGAAAACACACTATTGTGGAGTAGTAGGGCCACCCCACCAAGACTTATAACCTAACAGAACCCTCTAAAAGTTATAAAATCCAGGCAACAAAAATTACTTCATATCTGCACATTGGTCTTATCTCAGAAGCCGAATCCGCACATGCTTTTCTTCAGGTAATCAGCTTCGGGATAGGTTTCATCATGAATTAGACCATAATCCATTAAGCTATGTTACTGTGACATTCACCTTAAACCAAAGCAATGCTAAAAGACAAGTACTATATTAGAGAAATACTACAGTAGATCTTGAAAGCCACACAACTTACTTCATAATAAAGCTGCTAGTCAATGAGGTCCACAGCTTCATTAGTATTCATCAAGCCCCAGGATGCTGTTCAAGGGCAAAAAAAGTTTTCATTTAATCTACATATGGACCACACATATGCTGAAACAAAGTACTAGTCCAACACATACCTGGTAAGATTGTCAGGTTTTAGCTAAGTAATTTTCCAGCAAATGTTCTCTCCTATGTTTTGAAATTTTTCTTTGCATCTAATAAAAAAAAGCAAATTTCAAATGATGTACCACCTTCTATTCCTATAAATCAACAGGTTTACTTTCGAGTTTAAAAACTAAGCTCTCAACAATACCCACCTTAGCATCTCCAGGTAACAGTTCCGTTACACTGAAAGCCATCGTTCCTGCGGTGGATCAACCTATTTAAAATTAAGCATTCTAAGAGAACGCCACAGTGCAAGATTTTCAGTACTAAACCCTCCCTTTCACTAATCCGATCAGCGCATGGCGCCATCTGGGCACGCTACAACTCAGCCTCATTCACAGTCGGGAGCTACCCACGGAAATAAACATTCGATCCGGCGACGGGAGAAAGACTCGGTTCAGTAATAAAAGCCTCTTGCTGTTAATGTAAAAGTAACTTCCCGCCCCAAATCCTGGAAATGTAGTTGTTTTCCCGCCGCCGCCGCTCAGGCTCAGCCGGTCGGCTGCGCGGGCTCGGTACCCAGGCCGCGCACAGCTTCCGCGCCATCAGCAGCAGCCTCGGCTCGAAGGCTGCCCCCATCCGGACTCAGGGCACGTGGCGGTCGGGCTGCGTGTTTCCGACGTGCAGGCTTTCAACACACAGCAACGTTAACCTCAAATCTCTAAAACCGTTTCAAAGCCTGCAGCCCCCAACCCAAACCTACGCCACCCAGATTCGCCTAAATACTGGCCCGCGACGCCCACTCACCTACCGCCGAGCAGCAGCTCCCAAATCCCGACGTAAAAGACCGAGCGCTGCCGCCAGCAGTTCCCTATATAGCCTCTCCTGAGTCAGACCGAGGCCGCCCCTCCCTCTCGCGTCGATTGGACAAGGGAGAAGACGGGGGCGTGGCCGTCTCCTGACGCGTGAAAGCGAGAGCGCGCGGTGGCTCTTTGCTGTCGGGGCTCGTTCCGGGGCGTGGTGCGCGCGCCGCCCGCCGGCCGCGCGCCCGCCCAGTCCCCGGCGCGCGCCCGCTGGCGGCGCTGCGATCCCTCGCTTGCGAGGCTGGCTCTACGTGGCGCGGGAGTGGCGCCAGAATTCAAACTAACAGCCGCAGTTGGAGGCGAGGCTCCCGCTTGCCCGGAGCCAAGTCCGCCCCGGACGGGTTGGGCGGCTCGGGGCCGGGAGTGGACTTGAGTTAGGCAGCGCAGGGCGGCCTCGGTTTAGGACCCACTCGAGAAGGCGGGCTGGCGCCGGCCGGGAGTGAGCGACCCGCGGCCGCCGCACGCCCAGAAAGGGAAAGTAGATGGCAGACCTGTTCGGGTGAAAACACTCTGTGAAAGCGCTGCGACTCTCCTCCGGTCCGCAGGGAGAGTACCGCGCCCCTCCAGCTCCCGCGGCCGGTGCGCCCTGGGCGGCGTCCGGGCCCCGCGCCCCGCCCCCCTCCCCTTCCGTGGGCCGGGCGCTGCTCCTACACTCTGATCTGCACGTCCAATTCTTCCTGAGCCAGCAACCCCGAGAGGTAAATACTCCATTTGGCGAAGGAGAAAATTGAGGCCTAGGGCAGCCAAGTAATTTGCCTAAATTCACACAACTGAAAAGCTTTTCTGTTTTTAATTTCTTTGTACTAAGTTCATTATAATGAATGCAGGAGAAAGATTAATTTGAGAAATATCCCAGAATACTTTATCAAAACGACACTCAGAAAATTCAGAGGCAACGGTTTTATTAATTACTATGTGTGAGTAAATATATGTATATGCACGCGCACACAAGCACACATGACATTCGAACATTTCAGCATTTAAAAAAGTCTTCATAGCACTTATTCCTAATTCGTATTTAAATTTGTTTATTGTCCTCCTCGTGTAAGGAACACATAGTTTTGTGCACCATTATTTTTCTGCTTTAGAGCAATGCCTGGAATAAAGTAGGTTGTTAGAAACAATTGGTTGAATGAATGCATGCATATATGCGGTGGCTTTTTGGAAAATTAAAGCGAAGACCAACTTCCAGATTAAGAGATACTAGTGAAAAGCAACTATCTGTAACAGGAATCTAAGCGATGAAATATTCACTTGGCTGGGTAGTACGGTATTTTTGAATATCATTTTGTAATGTAGTGTAAATTTGCATATTGCTCATAGTAAAAAAACTAAAACAGTACAAAAAGATTAAAAAGCAGAGAAGTTCGTTTCCATATCACTGGAAATCTCTCCATTTTTAACAGTTTTTGAAACTTTTTATGCACATACAAATATATGTATATTTTCCCACATACAAATATGATCTATATACTTTTATTTTTTTTCTTCTTCCCCAAAGCCCCGGTATATAGCTGTATCTTCTGGTTGTAAGTCCTTCTAGTTCTGCTATGTGAGCTGCTGCCACAGCATGGCTACTGACAGACGAGTGGTGTGGTTCTATTCTGGGAACTAGGCTGGGCCACTGAAGCAGAGCACACCGAACTTTATCCAGTAGGACATCAGGGCTGGCTCTAGGATCTGTACACTTCTCTGCAACTTGCTTTGCTCTCTGTTAAATATCATAGACATCTTTCCATATCAGTACATATAGATGACCTTATTCTTCTTTATAGCTTGTACAGTGTTCAATTGGATGTATCGTAATTTTCTAATTTTTCACTATTTCAAACAGTGCCCAAGTGAATTAAAGCCATATCATAGTGAGCTTGTGAGAAGATCTGCAAGATCAATTTCTAGAAGTGAGTTGAAGGTTATGTGCACTTAAGTTTGTGATAGACATTGCTTAATTGTTCCCACTTTCCTTCTGCTCCCACAAAATGGTTGTGTTGTGGTTATATTTTGAAATGTTTTACTAATTGAAAAATATATATATGACTATTGTGGGATGGCAGTTATTACACAATTGAAATTGAAAACTGTTATTCTCTTTGTTGTCTTTCAATCGCTGTTTGCTGTACTGAAGACCATCACAATCATCTGGCCAAAAGCAGTATAAAACAATGATTCCCTACCTTGACTTATCAATTGAATTATTGGAGAGCTAAAAAGTATCAAATTTCTGGGCCCTGGAACGACTACAGCAGACTCTCCAGCAGTGAGACTCAGGAAACATTTCAAACAAGGATCTGGGGCAATGCTGTCCAACAGGAATATAACACGAACCACAGATGCAAGTTGCATATATAATTTTAAATATGCTAGTAGCCACATTTTTAAAAAAGTAAAAGGAATCAGATGAAATTAATTCTAATGCATTTTATTTAACCCAATATAATGAAAATATTTTCATTTCAACATATGATCAATGAAAGTTATTGAGATATTTTACATCTCTTTTTCTGGTACTCAGTTGTTGAAATCCAGTGTGTGTTTTACACTCACAGCACATCTCAATTTGTCCACATTTCAAGTGCTCCATGGCCACATGGCTAGTGGCTCCTGTATTGGACAGCATAGGTCTGGGGTGATTCACATATATGTAGAAGTTTGGGAACCACCGTGTTAGGGTAAGTGCAGTACTGCACACCTGACACATATTCCAATCTTTTTTAAAAAAACCTTTCATATTACTTTTGACTCATAAACTAATAACTCTAAGACATGCAATGTAAAGTGAAATGAATCCAGAGCCTGATTATTGATAACACTGCCCTCCAGTGAACGTGGGCGATGACTGTGAAGCTAGTACATAACTCATTCAGGACGTTTATCTCTTCAAGGAACAGAAAAACATACTGAGGGATGAAGCTATCAGTCATTGTTCCCACACCTAGAACAGTCAAGCAAATTGCTACCAAATATTTGAAGTGATTTAAGAACAGACCATATAAAGGTCACAACTGAAATTAAAAGTGTCCTCGAAGAATTTAGCATACTGAAAATAAATTCTCATATTTTGTAGCAAACTTCCAGGTAAGATCATCATTTTAATCATTTTCTGGAAGAAATTGTTCACTGAGCCCCTAGTGCATGCATTGTGCTTCAGGGAAAGCTAATATGAATACACAAAAGTCCTTGCCTTTCCCAGAAGAGTTTATAGTTTAGTAAGAAGTGTCTATCCAACTTTAGACACTTCTGCTTTAAAAATTAGATAGTCATTAAAGACTTTTGGGTAAGATCATAATGTGAACCAAATAGTGTTTTAGGAAGGGTTTGGGAGGAAAGATTAAAAGCAGTGTTTAGAAATTAGTGTGATCATTTAGATAAGATATTGTGAGGGACACTACTATAATTTTGGCCATGGAAATGGAAGGCAGGACAGAGAACAACATAGGGTGAGAGCTTATGTGTTGTTAGGTTCTTGTATGCATTGGACCATGTAATCTTCAAAACAATCCTGGCATGTATTTTTAACCTTATATTAGAGATGAGGAAAGTGAGGCCTAGAGATCTCTGTTAACCAGCATTCCCAAACTCATAATCATGTCAGCAGGACATGATATTGCTGTGTCGAAGAAAGAAATAGTAGGATGTATTGATGAACTGTGAGGGAAGAGAGGTAGTGGAGTGAAGCCTGGACAGCTACGAGAATGGCAGCTCCATTGACAGAAAAAGGGATGTCAGGAGTCACTGATTTGGGAGCAGGGAAAAGAAGATTCACTTTGGTTGTGTTAAATTGTGGGTGGAACATTCGGTTACATTCGTCCAGTGGACCATCAGAAATGTAGAAATGAAGTCCAAGAGAAAAGTCAGGCCTAGAGCAGAACCATTTGGCAAACCAATGTAGAGAGGCTGACTAAAGTCACATGCACAGATGAGTGTGGGGAGAAACAAAAAGAGCCAGCAACAGTGGCCTAGAATTAGTACCATAGTGTGTACAGATATCCTGCAGTAGACAACCTTTGAAAACATAGTCAATACACAGAAAGATCTGGTTAGGTCATGAATGTGTGAGAAAAAAGTTCACTATTAAGCTTTTGGTTAAATCATGGGAGAAATACACTACTTGATGCCACAGTTAGTGTAAGCATAATTAATTTATTCCAAAGCAGAAAAAAATTCAGTCCTCAAAGATAAGAATTATCTGGGCCAACCCTGGTCGCGTGGTGGTTAAGTTCAGTGCATTCCACTTCGGCAGCCCAGGTTCGGTTTCCGGGTGCGGACCTACACAACTCATCAGTGGCCATAATGTGGCAGCAGTTCACATACAAAATAGAGGAAGATTGGCCACAGATGTTAGCTCAGGGTGAATCTTCCTCAGAAAAAAAAAATCTGGTAAGGAGTTGATATCCAAAATGTGTAAAGAACTCATACAACTCAATAGTAAAAAATAGGCAGAGAATATGAACAGAAATTTTTCCAAAGAAGACATACAGATGGGCACCAGATACGTGAAAAGATGCTCAACATCACTAGTCATCAGGGAAATGCAAATCAAAACCACGAGGGATATTACCTCATACCTGTTAAAGTGGCTATTACCAAAAAGACAAGGCAAGGGTGTGGAGAAAAGGGAACCGTTGTGTGCTGTTGGTGGAAATGTAAATTGGTGCAGCCACTATGGAAAACAGTATGGAAATTCCTCAAAAATTTAAATATAGAACTACCGTATGATCCAGCAATTCCACTTCTGGGTATTTATCCAAAGAAAATGAAAACACTAACTTGAAAAGATGTATGCACCCCCATGTTCATTGCAGCATTATTTACAATAGCCAAGAAGTGGAAACAACCTAACTGTCCATTGACAAATGAATGGATAAAGAAAATGTGGTATATACATATTACTATATATATATATATATATATATATATATATAGTATTCAGCCATGAAAAATAATGATATCTTGTCATTTGCAACAACGTGGATGGACCTTGAGGGCATTATGCTAAGTGAAATATGTTAGAGAAAAACAAATATCATATCATCTCACTTATATGTGGAATCTAAAAAAACCCACCAAGTTCATGGATACAGAGAACAGATTGGTGGTTGGCAGAAGTGGGGAGAGAGGGGCGCAAAATGGAAGAAGAATGTCAAAAGGTACAAACTTCCAGTTATAAAATAAGTAAGTCCTGGGGATATAATGTACAGCATGGTGACTATAGTTAATAATACTATATTGCATATTTGAAAGTTGCTAGGAGAGTAAATCTTAAAATCATAACAAGAGAAATATTCTGTAACTGTGGTGATGGATGTTAACTAGGCTTTTTGTGGTGGTCATTTTGCAGCATATACAAATATCAAATCATTATGTTGTACACGTGAAACTAACATAATGTATGTCAATTATACCTCAATAAAAAATTTAAAAAATAAGAATTAAAGAATCTTACCTCTTAGTGTAATGTTCTTTTTTCCAATGTCTAAACTGAACTGATCAGTAGGTTTGATGGCAGAACAGACAACTGTGAACTGAAGAAAATTTTGTGAATACTCCATAAAATAATAAAGAGTTAAGTTCGTGAAACAGTAAAATTAAAGAGCTAAGTTAGGGGGAAAAATCATGTATATGCAGAAACATCAAGAGGCGGTTTGGTTCGTGAGTCTGAAGTTCAGAGGAGAGGTCAGGGCTTGAGTGTCATTGGCATGAGTAAGGTATTTAAAGCACGACACTGAGTGAGATCATCACGGAAAGAGTATAAATAAAGAGGAGAGAGCCTGTCACAGCCTTGGAGCATTGCAAACTGCACAGTTCCAGTAGAGAAGAAAGTGCCAGCAAAGGAGACCCCTTGAGAGGAAAACTGGAGAGTGTGATATCTCAGAAAGGAGCTGAAGAGTTTCAGGGAGAGATAGGTCAATTGGAGTAAATGCTTCTGAAAGGTCAACTAATATAACAGAGATGACCATTGGGTTTGGCAGCATGAAGATCACCAGTGATCTTGTAAACACAGTCTCTAGTGAATAACGATAATGGAAGCCCATTCGAAGAGGATTGAGGAGAAAGTGAGGTGAGAGGCAGAAATTGGTCAGTAACTGGAGAGGGTTGTAAGGTCAAGGGACTGCTTTTTAAATGGGAGATACTAGAGCATGTTGTATGTTCATGGGAGTGATTTTGGAGACGGGGGAGATTTGTGATGTTGGAAAAAAAGGCAAAAGTTATAGGAGCAAAATCCTTGAGAAGACAAGAGGAGATCTTCTCCAGAATACAAGTGGAAGTCTTTGATGGGAAGAGGGACACTTCATCTGTTTCATCAGTTAAAAGAGAAGACAGGTGTGAGAAAGGCAGTCATACACAGCCTGTTGACCCTTGCATAACTGCAGAAGAGCATGCCTTGGGCCTGGGACATTTTCCTACATGGAGATAAGGAGCTCTCACAGCCTGTGTTGGGTACATGAACTTGTTTGGGAGTACCTTTCCCTGTTCCAGGCTTGATGTGTGCTTCTTTGTTTTGCTTAAAGTGTGTACATCATATGGCACCTGGCCAGCCTCGCTGCTACATCTATTCCTGGTGGGAAGGGAATTGTGTCCCTCACCTGCAGCACAGGAGGGGTGCATGTAGACCATCTCCCTGTGTCAGCTTCAGGGCAAAATGTGGTGGCCATGAGGGCTGACACACCCTATTGAGACTGACCTTGCTATGTCTCTTCTCTGTGAGAGTAAAGTGTTGTTCCATCCATTGCCTGTGTGAGTCGTATCTTTCTTGGCAACTCTGAAATCTGCAAAATTCTGCAGTGGGTTGACATCTTGGTACTGCTGCTCCTGGCGGTGGGCAACAGGTGTCACTTGCTGGACAGTTTGTTGCAGCAAACAAGGTCATCAACAAAGTACACCATGGCATGGTGGAGATGCA